AGTCTAATAGATATGTCCGCCATTAGATAAGTCCGCGCGAGTTCACGACCGCCGTGCGCGCGAATACCAAGCGGAACCCTGTGATTCGGAATCAGCTGTTTTTCAAAAAACTTGATTGGGGAAGGACATATTGCGAAGATGTGATCGTAAAACTTAGAAGATCGAAGAATTGGTGAGAGATTAGATAACTAGTATCTGGTACAAGCAGCAATTAGGGAATCGAGATCTTCTTGTTCACTAATATTGGTGTTTTCATGGTTGTCAACTTCTGCTGTTAACTCGAATAGAACTTTCTCAATTTCTTCATTAGAGCCTCTATCGAAGTAATCGCTTCTCGCGCCCTACTTATCTTCTCAGTTTTTTCTTCTTGTGAACTATCAAATGAAGAGCTATTCTACTTCTTCTGCCTTGATCCCTCTTATTGATTCTTCTAACTTATTAGTGAACAATGTTAACAAGCGCTTACGTGTGGCGATCTGATTAGCCATGATGCTCTGCGCACTTCCACGTATTGTAGTTCCGTCAAATTGGTCGGTACTTTGCGCTAAAAGATAAAGTGAAGCTGAAGGTTGATGTCAAATAGGAGCGGTGGGTTTGATTCCAGAATTGAGTGAGGTACCGCCTCTGTGAATCTGAACCACTGAAGAGACGAATGTTGAACTGACCTTCATAGAATATCGAAGACCGAAATGGAAATGTCTGTGTTAGCGAGAATACTTGCTTGCGGCCGAAGAGTTTGTCGAGATCTTTCATAAATGGACCGGCATTCTTAAATGTAAACCTCTGGTTCCACTTTGAAAAATCGATTACTAGCACCATATATTTTGACTGTTCGGGATCTGACAAGATGTCAGCCATTGATTCTAAGCGGGTGTTTGAATTCAGCTTCGCTCATAGTCATTGACTGAAACTTGATAAATTGGGAAAATCTTTTCGGCTAGTGCAGCCTCCGTTGATGCTTGCCACATTCCTAAGTGGTAGGACCTAACTTGCAAAAACACCTTGCAGCTGTTTTTAGTTCTCGTTCCTTAGGAACAATCTCGATTATTTTCCAATCATCTGGTACAGTACCATTGTCGATCGTATCATATATTTGCAGACAGACCGTAGGTCTGATATTGTAGACAGTCTAAGATGAGGCGTCCGGTGCCACGTTTTAAAGTAATCTTTGGCCTTGTGTAGCCATAAATTACCTCATACGCATTGCTGCTGTAGTTTGAACTCCAGGATGGGAGCCCGTCACTAATGGATTATCAGACATGATTGACAAAACATCAATATTTTCAGGCAGACAAAATTTTGAGGAATCCGACGCGTTCAAAATCATCAATTTACAGAATTCTTTCGCCCCAATTTTGACTGCCCACGCACTGACGAAGGTGTTCCGGCGCATTTGGCAATAGCTGAAGTCTTGGCCACTCATGATGCTTTTCGAAGAACCCTTGCACAACACGAACCGGAATGTATATAACACTTTGAGTACTCAGTCAGGGTTGCAAGTGGATGGTTTTCTGCCATACTCATGTAGAGTTGCTAGTGTCTCCTCTACATTGATTGTCGGGAATCCGCCACACTTTGCAAGACCGGACAACTCCATAGCAAGACGAAACGATTCTGAATCGATTGTTAGTTGGATAAGATACCTGGATAAATTCCGTTCTTTCAAAATAGGAATGGTGCATTT